CCCATCATTGAAAGAATAATTTCCTTAATAAGGCTTGATTCTTCCTTGGCATTCCGCGTCCGATTTGATTTAATGTCCTTTGCAAATGATGTGTCCCTCATCGTTGAATTTTCGTCCTCGCATTCACACTTTCTCTTCACCTGTAAGTCAGTACCAGATAAGTCATTAGTTCATAATGATATATCAACACAACCCTTTAGATATGTACGTAGCATCTTAATCCAGCTATCGATAGAAACATGTGTGAACAAAAATGGTATGAAATCAAAAATATATTTATATATAGGTATTAGTATTTATTAATTGAATTTATAAAAAATTAAATAAAATATTTTAAAATTATATTACTGTAATAAAATATTATAAAAACTAAAACAAAATTATTTTTGTTTTTAAAATATGTTATTTTAGTCCTTTTTTTTAATATGAATTTGTTACATCAATATAATTTTGAGTTATTTTTTGACTTAACTTTTTATAAATTTGAATGATAAATATTTTTTTTACATAAATAACTCTATTTTTAGATCATAATTAAAAGGAATTGAGGAAAATCAATACGTTATAACAATTAAAGATGAATAATAAAAACACTAAATATTCTTAATGAATCAATATATAAAAAAGTTTATCAAAAATATTTAAATAATTTTACAAAAATTTTAATATTAAAAGTGTTAATATATCATGATTTTTATTTTTCTCTAATCAACATATTGGCTTACAAAAGAGATTTTAATTATGTAACCATCGTACTTTACCTTGAACGCATTACTAAAGACAGAATTATTTATAGATCAATATCAAAAGGCTAAAGTAGTGTATAAGATCCTTAACTTATACTAAATTTGTAAATAATGTCTAAAAATTTAATTACGCTTAATTAAAATTTAAAAATTTTCAAAATTCTTAAATAAGTTTCCAATTAATTAAATAGAAACTGTTAAATTTATTAAATCATTAGTTAATACTATTAAATCTAATGGGTTAAAATAAGAAAAATGGTCTCTAAACTTTTAATAACCTTAAAACTCTCAAAAACCTTAAAATGATCCTTAAATTAATTTTTTGTTGGTAAGGAAAATTTTGTGGGTCCACAATTAAAAATTAATTTTAATTATCTAAAATAATTTACAAATTAACTTTTAAATGATTTTATTAAAATTAATTAACCATTAACAAAATTTTTTTTAGTGTGTCACACGTATTTGCAGAATAAATTCATTCATGGCAAAAAAAAAAAAGTTGAGGGCCAAATGCATGCCAGTGATGCCACAATAATTTTTATTTGTGAGTCCTACAAAATTTCCTCATCAATGAAACAAAAGAATAGGAGCGTAATTTTATGGATATTGATAACTAAAACTTAAAAGTCTTAAGTCTAAGGATCATTTTTGTTATTTTTACCACTGAGAGTTAACTGGATTAACAACTTAACGGTCTTAATAAGACCTTATTTGAGAATTATGACAATAGTAGGATTTTAAATTGAGCACAAGAAAATGTTAGGACTTTAATTGCGAATTTAGTGCATCTCATCCACTACTTAAGCCAAAAACAGAGTGCCCTCGCGATCACCTCTGTAGCATTGCTTGATCTTTCCTAGTTCAACTAGGTTTCTTCGGTTT